GGGTGTTAAAGAAAAAAAAAAGATGTGTTGCGGGGGGGGGGGGGGGAAATGAATAGGTCTTTTCTTCAGTTTGCTTGCTTTGAGGCACTTCAGGGGTGGTTAGGAGCTGCATTTTGGGGGACCTGTCTTTACTGCTCAGGTACAGTCATGCTTGTGAGCATCATCCTCTGGCCAACTGGTTGGTCTGAGGTGTCATTGACTCCAGTTTTCATGGGAGAGAAAGTAGGGAAATAAGTCATCTGATTGTCATTATAGTGACCTTGGATAGCCCACTTCTTTATTGTTTACCTAATCTTTCAAGGGTGAAGCTCAGGCTGATGTCATCCCACAAGACCCCTCTGATAATTGCCAGTGTATCAGACATTTTACATCCCAGTTGCATTAACTAATCCTGGTCAAGTGCGGTTATTCTGACCTTTGGTCCATTTCGGGGCCCTCCTTTGTATGGTACTGCTTCTTTGTCATATCCACAAGTCTGTATCTTTGTCCGAACCAACCAATAACAGGGGAATAACGAGAAGATGACTTGACTCAGGTAAGGGGAACTGGGATAATTCTAATGAACAGTCAGGACTCCTATGTGGCTTTTGAATCAAGGACTGGTCACTTTCCTAGTCATAACTTTGACTTAGAAAAGTTGTACCTTATCCATTCACATACGTTGTGATCACATTTTCTCAAGACCTTGAGATCTCATGACCACAATAAAAAACTAAAGATCTATCATCCTTGCTGGGGAAGTGCATGAAGAGTTATTTTGCTTTGTCAAAGCTTAGTGCTGCCTCAAAAGCTACTTGTTAAATCTTAACATAAACTTTTTTAAAATATGGAAAATTAAAGTTAATGTCTGCATTAGTAAGGGCCTGTATATCTTGCATATAAAGGAAAATTCACCCTTACACTAAGTGACTTGAAAATTTCTGATACAAGGGGTCCGGGGGGGAGGGATTGGCAATTATAGTAAAACTCCATTGATCTGGCACTCCCGATGGTCCGGTACCATCGGGAACCTGGAAGTGTTCCGGGCAGCCGGACAATTGGAGCTGTTCTGCGCCCCGCTTCCCCGATTCAGCTGCTGCTGAAACTGACCAGCAGCTGAATCGGGGAAGCCGGGGGCAGAGCAGCTGGGGGGGTGCCGGGGTGGGCCCTTAGTGCTGCCCCTCGGGGCTGTGGGACCAATCTGGCAGCACCCCCACTGCT